ATCAGGTAATAGGCATACAGACCTTGGTCCCGGCTGTGGACCCTGCAGTGGCCCGTGAACCAGCTCCAGCCCCTCTTGGCCATGGCCCAGGAGCCCTTGGAAAACACTGGTAGCCAGTCACCCATGGACGAGAGAGCCTTTGTGGAGTCCAAGTGTCCAGAGAAAAAGTTCCAGCACACTATTGGGGGAAAAAAAATGCGAGTTTCAAAGCATTGAAATGAATAAGAGGAATAGTTTGACTCTACCCACATCGCCCCTTACACAAGATGGCACAGCTTAGAGCCAAGAGAGATCTTCTCAGCCTGGGATTTATCCTGAGGTGGAAAATGAGAGCGTGTGAATGAGCACCCAGCTTCCCCAGCTATGCTGAATGATACCAAAGGGGCCCATGTCTCTCCCGCCCCATCCTGGCATGAGTAGGGGCAGGAAGCGGCTGGGAGAGCAGCAGATGGGTTGCTCGGAGGGCATTAAAGGATGCAGATCCTGCTAACTGGATCACGGCCTCCATCAAGCAGCTTGCCCATGAGCCACTGGGAACACCTTGCCCGTGGATTGCCCCCAACTGGCCCACAGGCACCCCCACTGCTCCACGTGCCTCCCCCACATCCCCCTGCCCTGTGGCCAGCTTCCTGTGTGCGTTCCCAATGGCAGCGGAGAGAGTGAGCTTTAGCAGATGGCTAGTGAGCATGTGCAGAAAGCTGACCCGAATCTGAGCACCAGGGAGAGACCACAAACTTGAACTTTAGCAAGTTTTGTTTGGGAAAACAAAAGGGAGGCTGTCAGCACTTGGCTTGGTGCACTGCAGGATGGAGAAGAGGCGTAAAGCTCACTTCATTCTCAGGGAGAAAATGGTGACCTCCTTTGGCTGATGAGCTTGGATTCTTCCAGCCACAAATGGCTTGGTGGGGAGGAAGAGCCCTTAATGCAAGCACAGCCTTTCTGGAGAGTTCTCTGAGTTCCTAAGCCCTTCAGCCACTGGGACTGGCGATTCTATCTCCTCATTTCTGCAGGAACCCAACTTTCCTTTGCACCTGGATCTTTCATTCTGTTAATGAAATTCACCAATCTGCATTTCCTTGTCTTTTTCTCCAGCTTCCTCCCTCTATCCCTTCCCTTATCACACTGTAGTTAATACTAAACGTCATGAGTGCCATTTATGAGGTGTTTCCTATGTGTCAGGCTCTGTGCCAGATATATAAATATTTGACATGTGACCCAAACAACCTGAAATATAGGTATCAGTACTCTCGCTGGCTGATGAAGAAAGCAAGGTTTGCAGGGTTTGTCCTAGGTCCCACAGCTCCCTAGAGTGGGGGAGCCATGGTCCCAACCTGGGTTATCTCACTTCAGAGCCCACCTGAGCTCTTCAGTGCTGGATCAGTCTCTCTTGTCTTCTCATCAGCCCTTGAACCCTCTATGAGGAAACGGGACAAATCTCAAAGCAAGTTCAACTCACAAGCAGAAAGTGATTACCTGATATTTACACTTGAATAACGTGACCGTGCTGCTATGTGACATGGTGTCCATGCATAATCAGCTTTTCTTTTTCACGTCTTACTTACTGTTATATGTGGGAAATAATCATTTCTCAGCTTATGCAGGACTCCCCTGGGAATGGTGGGAGATTGTTCCTTCCATGCTGTGTTAGTCAGAGTTCTCCAGAGAAACAGAACCAAAAGAATATATATATCCTATATATATATGTGTATCAGTCAAGAAATTTATCATAAGAAATTGGCTCATGTGATTATGGAGGCTGGCAAGTCCAAATCCACAGAGCCAGTGTCCCAGTTGGAGTCTGAAGGCCAGAAGCTGCTATAGAACCAGGAGGAGCCAGTGTCCCAGTTCAGAGGCAGTTGGGTAAGAGAGAATTCTCTCACTCAAGGGAGGGTGAGCCTTTTCTTCTATTCAAGCCTTTAACAGATTGGATGAGGCCCACCCACATTATGGAGGGCAATCTGCTTACTCAATCTACTGATTCATATGTTAATCTCATCCAAAAAACATCCATGCAGAAACACCTAGTGCAACATTTGACTAAATATCTGAGCACCCTGTGGCCCAGGCAAGTTGACACATAAAATTGACTACCACACATGCCAACTCGATGTATGGGGGTAGTCATTGCCTAGAATGTTGTGGTGAGGATGGAGGGCCCCAGCCAGCACAGTGAGAACTCAGGCAGGGATAAATTACTGATGTCTACCTGGACCTGAGGGGAAATGGGCCAGTTGACCAAGGGTTTCTGTTTGTGTTATGCCTTTACAATACAAAATCACATGAAAGAAGGAATAAGAATGAGTGCCTGCCAAAAAACGTATATGAAACTGTGTAATTCATAGGGGAGAGTAGCTTGTAGAAATTAAGTTCCCTACTTCATTTTTATACCTCATATGATTGTTAATTCCTAGAGTACTGCCTCTTTCTGAGAGTAATAACTTAAAAAATTGAAGAAATCATATGTCAAATTATCCATGTTGATCCCAGAGGTATAAAGAAAATATTATTAATATTATGCTATTCTTTCTTTTTATATTTGTTAGAGCTTCGTATAAAGTAAGAAATCTACATTAATTTGGAAGAATTTTTCTTTTACTAAGCTCTCAAAATAGGCATTATTTTGTTTTGATGCAATCTGGGTTTGAAGACATATTTGAAACGTGTGTGCGTTTATCTGGAGTAGAATGTAGACATGCACTAGAGGTTCTGAAGTTTGTTGATACATGAATTCTAAGTCCTGTGTATATGTTGTTTTGTTCTATTGTTTTCGTCTGTTTGTTTGTTTCTTTGTTTTTTAATAGACCAGGCATTTGGAAAGACCTAAAGACCATGGGTTCAGTGTCTCTCTTTATATTCTTCATCACACTGCTTGTTCTGGGTAGACAGGTAAGCAGTCTGTTTTTTTAATATAACTTCTCTAAAGTGCTGTATTAATAATACTTCGCTGATATGCATTATAGTTGCTTTCATGCAAACAGATGTTGAAACATCAGAATCATCTTATTGCTTAAGAGAAAGGGGGCAGCATAAGGTGTGGATGCTTACGTATAGACAGAAGGAAAAAGTTCTCTCATTTTTTCTGTAAGAGGCAAACCCAGTGAGTGATAGAGATGTGAATCAATTAACTTCCTGTTAAATCTCAAAATAAATATGTAGGTTTTGTAAGCCTACAAAAGTATCCCCTCAATAGTTGACACTAATTGGAAAAATATCCTCTTGGCTGTGGTTTCATTTGCATTTCAGAATGCATGGCAGGCTTCTTTTTCTTTGAAGTGGGTATGGATACCTTTGCTGTCACTTGCAATCATCCCTAGAAATAGGGTCCTCTGTTCAAAATTTTATTTTGTGATGCAAATGAAACGGTTCCTCCTCCAACCTCCCACCTCCTTCTAGCCTCCCAGCAGAGGCTGTGGGTGCGGGATTTTTAAGGACAATATTCTTCCTGACTGCACACAAGGACAATCACTCAAAGACTAAAGACTTGTCCCAAACCAGGTGGCTCTGCCTCAACCAAAGTTTAAGTTCTTTGGTGGCTAGTGTGAAACAGAGAAAGTGATTTATTTGGAAATAACCAACAAAGAGGCAATGCCAGTTAAATTGTACACACATCACTAAACAGTTAAATATGTGGCAAATATCTGAGAGGCAAATTATAGATTGTGCATTTTGGTCTGGCTTCCGTTTCTCCCCAGTAGGAAGCTGTTAATAATCACACAGTCAGGGCAGAGTCCAGATCTGTGACTGCCAGTCTAGTGGCCTGGGAACACTGTCCTCTTCCATCTTCCCAAGCAGTGCAAGTAGCATCCTTCCCCAGGAGCTCACAGCGCAGCCCTCACCCCTCTCCTAGAGCTGAGCTGTCATCCTGCTGCAGAGCATCGGAAGAGCCCTGTCTCCCCAGCATCCTCCCCTCCCTCTGTCCCTGGCACCTGCTCGGGTCTGCATTCTTTGGCTTGCAGTTTTGATAGCCTGCATGTGTCAATTAACCCATTATACTGTGTCCTGTTCTTTTTCTCTGGTTTCGTTTGTTTCTCTGGCTACCTGGTTTTCTCCACAATTGACCGGCCTTCTGTATTCACACGTAGAGAAAAGGCATGTCCTCCCTTAGGAAACCCGGTAATTTAGTTGAAAGAACTGGGCTTCCTTGCAGGATATCACGTAGAAGATCATTTCTCAGGAACCAGCATGGCCATCTCTTGTGTGGGGTAGCCTCTTTCTCCCTTTAGGGCTGGGGATGTTTTGTGCTGCAGTTTTTCCTGCTAGAATGATCTAGAAGAAACTAGAATCAAATTGAATTCTCCCAACTTTTTTATTGCTTATTGAGATGATAAGCATGCGATACCACTACATAAATGTTGTTGAATCCAGTGGCTGCTCATTGATCAGTTACTCTCTAATTGATTTAAGATAAATAATCAAAAGTATGCAATCTTGTGGTCGGGCATTAATTTAACACAATAGTGCTGATACCATCTTATAGGGAGTCATTCCTTTTTTGTCACTAGTGTAGCAATGAGGAGGCTGACCTTCAGTCTGAAATCATTAAGTGAATGATTTAGTAAAGTCCCAAGTCTTCTGGGCTAACAAGAACTGTGACATCTGTGATATAGTGCTTCTGCAAACCATTCCAGAAATACAAGTATATTATAAACAAACATCCAATATTTGAAATAAGATTTTCAAGTTTCATGAGTATTCATGACCTCAGCGTTATTTATTTTCTGAATGTTTTTTTAAATCATAACAGACATTTTGCAACTTATTTTTGTTGCCATTTGTCCTAATGGCTCCCCTGGCCCATGACCATCTTTTTTGAAATGACGGCAATCTGTTTGCTTTCTGAGCAAATCAGTCTACTAAATATTGCTCCAGGTATCTAAGAAACCTTAATGAAAACATAACACATGTCCTGGATGAGAGCTACAGCAGTACTCTCTGTACTGAAATATGGTCTGTGATAGAAATGCCAGCCAACCCAAGGGCCTCTTTTGAAAAAGAAAGATTCCCTGTGTTTCACCTGAGTTTAAGCAACAGCACACTGCCATCAAGGGTCTGCATTCTAGGTGGGCTCATTCAAGACATGGAACCAGGCAGGTGGCAGTCTAGTGGCCTGAAAGTGAGGCTGAAGTCACGGTGAGAGAGTTCAGAATCCAAGAGTAACTGCAATCATGGCTGCCTGCACCCCGGCCCAGGGACCACTTCTTCTCTCCATGTAGAGAGATGTAAAGCCCTCCAGTTCCTCAGCTTGTTTTCAGAACTAGATAAAGCACAAAACTTCCCTCGAGGCTATGCTGGGATGTGAAACATATCACTGAGGGTCGATGGGGTTCCAGATATGGCCTGGATGCCTCTTCCAGACTTTTCCTGCCTTCTCCCATCATTAGAGCCAATGAAGAGCACATTCTATGTTGCTAAGTGTGATCTGGGCCCTGAGAACTTGGCGAGTAGCCCCAGACAGAATCTGAGATGGGTGGTGATGTGAGGATAGAAGTTCACGAGGCAGGGCTGCTGTTTTAGCCGACGTGGCACAGAGTCCTGGGCTCCTCTCCAGCAGTTCCCCACCACCACCACCGAGGCACAGTCACGGAGACAGTGGCTTCCCCCAGCCCTCTGCTGGATCTCCTCACATGGCCTCCCCGTGTCTCAGTGTCAAATCTCCCTCTCCTTTCTCTCATAAGGACACAAGTCATTGGATTTACAGCCCACCCTAAATCCAGGATGATCTCATCCTGAGATCCTGAAGTTAATTACTTTTGCAAAGACCCTATTTCCAAAGGTGACATTCACAGTTACCAGGGGCTAGGACTTGGAACTATCTTTTGGGGGTACACCATTAAATCCATTAAAACTGGTTTGGGATAGAAATATTTGTCTTCCTTTGGGAGCCCTCCATGTGAGTTTCTAATGAGTTTCTAATGTACTTGTACCTCAAGGAGAGGATTCTACAGCAGAGTGCATTGGTTGGGGAGGTGATAGGTAAAGATTTGGCAGAATGTTGCTTTCAGCACAGTGTAGCTGGTTCCAAAGTGCTCTGATTCCTTTGAGCAGGAGACTTACAAAATGCTTCCTGTGATGCAATAGCAACCACTAGGGAAACCTGAGCAACCTCTTAATACGGTTTAGGGAAACCTTCATACTTGCTGCCTGCCTCACTGGCTCCTTGGTTTCACCTCATGTTTCATTTTTGTCTAATCTTGAGTGTATATCTGTGTCTTCCCAATGCCACCGCCATAGATTCCTTCTGTCATTTTAGTTTTAAAACCAGCCACACTACTGGTTTATCCCCTCCAAAAAATCCAAATAAATAATCTATCCTCCAAGCTAGAAGCCTTTTCTAGTAAGTGTATAGCATGATTTCCATAAATACAGAATGTGGGAAATTTGGCAAAATTTACTATAAACCAATTTTAAGAATAAGTTTTGTGCAATCTTTTTTGAAAAATGTCTCACTATATGAGGTAAAAATAAATGTCACTCTAGAGGAGGAGGAATGATTTTTGAGTGTTCCACACATAGTTTGAATCAAACCTAATTGATGAATGATCATTCTTGCAGTTTTCAAAATGTGAATTTCTTTTAAATTGCCATCTGCATATGAGGCCATGTGTGTATGTTTTGTTTTGTTTTGTATTGTCATTGGTATAATTAATCGAACCAATAAAATAAACAAGCCTCCTGCATGTAGTTCTTTGCATTTATTTGTCAATAAGTTACTGTCTGTGCTGAAATACACCCTCTCTATCAGGCCCTTCTGTTATAGGAAGATTCATTCAAGGCTATTTCATTATATTAAATTATTCCCATCATAGCAAGCACAAAATTATGCCAAAACCAAAGAGACCCTTCAACAGTAAATGAATCTCTCTATTTCTACAATGTTAATAATAAGCATTTTTTAAAAACATTAAATTTTAATACATTAAAAGCTTGAGCACATATGTTTTTACTAGCAGGCACCATCCTAATTAAATGATATCAAAATGAACTTTTGTCTAAATATAATGTCACCCTCTGAGTACAATGCAATCCCAAATGAAAAAATGCATATTTTTCAATGGATACTTAATTATATAATTTGTGGTAGGGGAAAACTGATTTTCAGATATTAAAGGCAAACTACCACAAATGAACACTATTATTTTTTAAATGTAAATCATCAAACAATGCACTCTCCCTACTAATGTATTTTCCATTTATTCATTATGTATATTCTGTTATGCCTCTTTTCAAAAAATAATTCAAGCCGTCTTTTATTAACATAACTATGCAAGAAGCTTTCATGTCATTTGTTTCTTTCAAGCCTCCAATATAGCTATTTTCTCTGTTCCTGAGGCTGGTTCTTTCCCTAACTTGTTTTTCGCAAATCCATGTTAGAGGCTGAATGAGAGACATTTTGGGGGAACAGAGGGCTTTGTAGGGAGGGTGACAATTCTGTCTGGGGTTCTTTTTATAGTTTTGTTTCATTCTTTTTATTTTCTCTTTAAAACCTCCACTCTCTGGCAGGACGAGATGCCTATTGTTTCTTTACCTCTGTGTCCTCTTGTAACAGAATGAATATTACTGTAGGTTAGACTTCTTATGGAAGAACAAGTTCAAAAAAGAACGGGAGGAGATAGAAACCATGGAGAACCTGAACCGCGTGCTGCTGGAGAACGTGCTTCCTGCGCACGTGGCTGAGCATTTCCTGGCCAGGAGTCTCAAGAATGAGGTCAGATGGTGCGG